TGCAAATAGGGAAGGGTGGAGGGGGTGAAGGGAGGGCAGGGGAAAGGGAAAAAAATAAGAACCAAGATACTCATGTAATGATACAAGATCCCAATCATGAATGTAACTGTATTTTATACCTAAAATGTACCATAAACTTAATGGGAAAAAAACAAGTTACTTGAGGTGGAAATGTTTTCAGTGGAAAGAAATGTTTTCTCCTGATTAAATGTGAATAAATGAGAATTATAACCACATAGATAATACTAAGAAGGTTCTATTTAAATGCTGAATGTCAGATGTGAACTAATCATGATTAAATTTTGATTCTACCAAGTAAGACTGTCTATGATGAAAGTGAAAAGCACACAGTGGCAAAAAACAAAACAAAATGAAAAACCTCAAAGACAAGTAAGTAAAGCAATATATTTCACAGCTGGCCTAGAATTTTCTAGGTAATTCTGATAGTTCAGAAGTCGGACAGAGGTTTAAGGAATGAGGAAGAAAAGAATAATAAATGTTCTTTCCTCTTTAAGCCACTGACATACTCTTTTTTTATTTTATTAGTACATGTTTGCAGTACATGCATTTTAAAATCATCTTGGGGAGTTGGTACATGTACATAATACAGCTTGTTTCTTTTTTAAATCTTCCATCCTCCTCACTCCCTCCTCTAGTTCCCCTTTTCCCTTTTCATTCTTGTCATTATTAATCTTAGTTCATATTTCCAGGATACCAGATAAACACTCTACTACAGAACTACACTTCCAGCTGTAAAGCAGTCTTTATGACTGAATGGGACACATTACAGTCAACTTTGAGTTTTTTAGTTGCTTGGTAAGAATCACATTACTAAGTACAGCCTTACTACCTTTCTTCCTAAATCTTGTTAAATAGATCTACTGTCAAATATCACAAAATAGAAGCCATCCTAGAAATTGTGACATTTTAACATAACAGTCATTTTAGTATAACAAAACTCCAAGTTTTGAATTTCTGGTCACCCTATCTACAGAAGTTATATCATTTGGTGCTTACCAAAGTACCAAGAAGCAGCTTGAAATTTTCACTGTCACCTTACCTGAGACACTGTTTCCTCAACAGCAAGATGGGGGCTAAGCCCTCCCTTCATTCAGCTTATAAAATGAAAAAAATTTTTATAAATGAGTGCCTAGGGCAGCTGCTAGCACAAAGTATAAGTCCGTGCATGTTATGCTCATTTCCTAATAAAAAGGGAGGAAATGAATAAAATTGCTATTTATATAATGTTAATTTTTTCAAAACACATTACTACTGGATAGCAGTAAAACTTAGATTATATCTACTGACATGTAAGGGATTTCACATTGTATTTATATATGGGATAAAGGGAGTGTGCACTCTATATATGTATATATAATATGTATGTTCATGTTATGTGGGTTTTCATGTCCCATGTGACCCATCTATTCCTCTGCTGCGTATCTTCCCAAAAGAATTAAAAGCACCGTACCACAGCAATATATGCACACCCATGTTTATAGTGGCACAGTTTGTAATAGCTAAAGCCTGGAAACAGCCCAAGTGCCCATCAGCTGGAGACTGGATAAAGAAAATGTGGTTTTTATATAAAATGGAGTACTACAGACATTTATAGCTAAATGGATGCATACTGAGGCCATACTCTTAAGTGAAATAAATAGGACACATGTGTAAATACCGAACAGTTTCTCTAGTGCGAGAAACTGAAAATGTAAATAAGGATTAAAATGATTAAAATGAGTAAGTGATAATTTGGAATAGGAAGAAAAGGTCCAAAGGGAAAGGGGAAGTGGGAGGGGAGGAAGGGGAAAGGAAAAATTACGAGAAAAGGAAAAAATGGAAACAAAGTCTTTGTAAATAGGGAAGGGTGGAGGGGGTGAAGGGAGGACCGGGGAAAGGGAAAAAATAAGAACCAAGATACATCATGTACAGGTACAAGCACCCGATGATAAATGTAAACGTATTATATACTAAAATGTACCAATAAAAGAATTTAAGCAAAAAAATAAATAAAACTAAAAAGCCCTTTTTCCTATATTATCAGTATGTGAAAATATTAGGTTTATTAGTTCTCTACTATGAAATTAAAGTATAAAATCCAATTAAATAATCCTTTGCAGGACAAAGAAAAACAGAGAACCCTTACTAGAATAAAGAATCTATTTTGCACAGTAGAGATAAAGCAGACCCTTAATTTAAAAATCTCATTCATTCTCTATGAATAAACTTCGCAACGACTTTCTGGAGCTTTTGTTATTGTTTTTGATGCTAGGGCTTGCACCCAGGTCCTTGCACTTGAAAGCACTTGTTCTACCCTTGTGCTACATCCCAGCCCAGGAAGTGCTTTAAAAGGGTAGGGGGCAGGGACATCTAATTTACAACCTATCCCATATGGCAGCCTCCAGCCACATGAGCATTACTATAACACTCGACATGTGGCTAGTGAGACTGAGAAAGTGAATTACAAATTTTATTTAATTTTGATTAACTGAAGTCTAAATGATTACTTAAAGTTAATGACTGGCATACCGCACAGTACATTTTTAGAAACTTTAGACATATGTATGTATGTTGTCTTACTAGAATTCTCTTATAAAAGTAATAAAAAACTTGAAAATTACTGACTTTCAAGCATTAAACTAAAAATAGTAACAGTAAGTAAAACAGCATTTCTGGTATAAATTATCAGAATGTGATCCAAAAGCTTATTTTTCTTCAAAAGTCAACTACTAGGAGTAATGAAAGCAAGAATTTCTCTTAACCTCCTCTGAGACAGTTTTTTTTCAGACAATTACTGCATCAACATACCAGGGTTCCATTTACATCCTGACTCAAGTTCTTCATCTCGCCTATAATGAAAGCCACCAGGTAAGTGCTCATCTTCACACTCTCAAAAAACTCATCCTGAACAAGTCCATCTTCCATAGGGACTGATGACTTCTAAAGGGAAAGAGAAAACACGATAGTTCTGTAACTGTAGGAATAAATGACAGTAACAAATGCATGGACAAACTAAAAAGGAAATAAATAGTGAAGATGCTAGCATATCTTAATTCCTCAGAATTTTGCAGAGAGCATGGCCCTTGGTCTCAATTTGTGCTACCATCCTTCATCAGGAGGACACACTATGTAGAGTGGAAATTCTGAGTTTGTAGCCCCAGACTACCTTTAAATATGTGTACATTAGAGCAAGTAATTCCACCAAAAACCTAAATCCTTTCCTATGACCTAGGGATCACTCTCCTTTACTGCTACAAATACATCTGCAGAAGTAGCTACAAGTGACGTGAAAGGGCTTCATAGTGCCATATCGATGACCCCAAGAAGGGTTAGTGGGATCAAAGGTAGCAAATCACCAGAGAAGTCTGCAGCAGACACAAGATGAAGGAATGTAAACAACTTGTAGAATTTTCCGACCATTAATTAAATTGTTTTGGGATACCAGGCAATTAGACATCCACTTGGCTGCAAAAGTTTAAGTGATGAGTATAGATAGAAGTGGAGTTATTGGAGTGCCATTTCATGTAAGGCCAGATCATGTCTGCTGCTGCCCACAGGAGTGGGCTCCACAGCCTACTGCATATGGTTCTCCTCTGCCCTAGCCACATGATTCCAGGAAGCTCCCTAAGATGTGTGAGACAACAAAAGGACACCCTAGGTTCTAGTTAGCATGGAAATTAGTTTGATTTCATGCTCACTGCTTCCCACTCAGAATTAACAATCAAGAGGCCTCTGTTCATGTCACTAACTTCCAAATTACTCCAGTGTCAATTTTTAATTTACCCAGAAAACACCAAGAACAACCATGATTCCACACTACCAATAACACTATTTAGATCAGCAAATTCACTGTCTCAGAAATTATCACACTCATCTTATTCTAGTTCACAGTATTAATATTTACATAACTTCATAAATAGGACACATTTCCTACCCACACATTCCAAGTCCAACAGGTCTTTCTTTCTTTGGGTGCTCCACAGGCTGACTTCCTAACTGATCCCAACAAATATCTGTATTTGATTTTTTATTTAAGTACTATTAATGTATATGACTCTAATCATTCTCAGCAAGAGCCTAGCAAAGATGAAAGCAGGTGTTCTTAAAGAAAGAGATCTACTCAAAGATTTTACATTTAAAAAATGGAGTGGTACCTTAGGCATATTTGATAAAGCAGTGTACTGCTCATCCCTTATGATCCTGATGACAAATGTGGCTTTAAATGCTGGTTCATCAAAACAAGGAAAAGCAGATCTTGCTGCCAGAGGTTCAAACTGAGTTGCTGCAAAGTACCTAAAACAGATATAAATTCAATCCAATAGTTATTGATCACCTACTATATAAGATAAACATAGTATCATCCTAGTCATTAAAGGACTCAATCAATAGAGGGCAGAAACATGTCAGAATGCAAATCATGTTCTAAAGTGAAAACAAAGCAGTGGAGAAAAAGGGTAGGGAACAAATTCTGATTAGAGGTCAAACTCACGGTTACAAAGTGGGTACAAAGCCTGAAGAGCGCCTTAAAACATGAGTAGTATTCAAAAAGGGAGATAGAGGAAGAACATACTCAAAGAGTGGGCAGCACTAAGAGCGAAAGCAGTTTATGTCGAGACTGGGGGCAGCTGCCAAGTGTGGCTGGAAAAGAAGCCACAGAGGTAAGCTGCCGCTGGCCGGCCACTGAGGTCTTAAAGAATTTCTCATGGGAGACCAGTAAGAAGGGTTGCCATTACTTTCCACCAATCATCTGTACACACTCTGCTTCATAACACTAAACCTCAAATTCAAATGTTGAACTCTGAGTACTGAAAAATACAGGTAACCTGTAGTACTCTGATTTCTTTTATTCTTTTTAACAATGAATCAAAAATTTCCTCTCTTACATAACACAGGACCAACAGTTAAGATTTTAACACATACAAAGGTTCTTGCTAGGCTAGGGAAAAGGTATCAAAAGAAATGGGGAAGGCGCAGAGTTTTGAATAAGTAGAGGAATAAAGCAGATTTCCAGTTGGGAAATTATCCAAACATGGCCACAGAATAATCAGGGCAGGTGTAGCCCTGTTGTGTAAATTTTTGGTACCAGGCAACCTGGCACAAATATAATCATCTCACAGCAGCCTCTCTTGCTTAGGCTTAGTTTCCACTCTTAAAAGATAAACAGAAAAGAAAAGGTCTGGAATTTGGAGTCTGAAGAGCCAAACTCTAAAATTTACCAGCCATATGACTTTGGGCAAATCAATGACCTAGATCTCAGTTACCTTATTTGTTTATGATTGAGATTGGATCCCCTACCAAACACCCAGGCTTTTTGTTCATGATAAAACGACTTCATATAAAACCATTTGTATACTATAATGCCCCACAGAGATGTTTATTACAAATGCCAGATAACCACAACTCTTTCACACTTAAAATTATTGTACTTTTTTTTCCTGGTAAGAACATGCCTTAATAACTGTTTCTACTGGGTAAAGTACAACAAAGGTAGCAATCACCATACATGAAACAATTTAAACATTATGTTTCTAACATTTCATTTCTTCACCTGGCCCTCAATATTCTTACATATTTAACAGAAGGGCACAGGGGCCAGGGAATAAATTTAATAAGATACTTATTCTTCATATAAGAGCCTAATTACACATAAAAACTAGATCATAATATTTTAAGACAAATAAAACCTTATTGTTAAAAGAGATGCAGTAGTAACTATCTCACACAAAAGTCTCTTTGAGGGCCAGGGATTTAGCTCAGTGGTTCCGCTGCCTGCCCCGCAAGTGCAAGGACCCGAAGTCTTAAAAGTCTCTTTGACAAGGGTGCTTAATACTTAAAATTTGTCCCATGTAGGAGGAATACTCTGAAGCTTATTCTTTCACTGGCGACTTTATTTCCTTTTAGAAATACTAGTTGCAATTCCAGGGCTTTTTCAAGTAAGAAAACTGTAAGTACTAGGGATAAAACATAACAATGTAGAGTCTTTCAGAGGAAAACGGATGCAGCTTGAGAGAAACACACAAGCTTAAATATTGTATAGTTTCTCTTATATGAGAAACCAAAAATATAAAGAGCAAAAAAAGCAGCTAGTAATAGGAAGTAAGGAGATACGCTGTATCTCAAATAGAAAGGGGACCTAGAAGAGATGGAGAGAAGGGAGAGGGGGGAAGGGAAAGGAAAGGCGATGAGAAAGGAATTAAACTGTGTTGTGTACAGGTACCAACTCCCCACAAGGAATGTAAACATTATGTACCAGAAATATATACTACTAAACAAAAGGAAAAGGAAAAGCAGTGTGAACTAGGGAAGCAGCATATCACAGTGGTAAAGAACGTAGCTTCTGTAGTTAAAATGGCTTTGGGTTTTGAGTTCCCTGTCTGCTACGTCAGGGGCACTTATATGTCCTCTTGTTTCCTCAGCTATACAATGGAAACACTACTTCTTTGTGGTTTTGATAGGCTTAAAGACTAAACATACAAAATGCTTGGAATAGCTTCTAACACTTTAGTTCCCTGTAAATACTGGCCATTACTGTATTATCATTGGATTGCAGAGAAGGACACACCATGTTTAACATGGCAGGTGATGACTATAAGAAAGACCTAAAGCTAAATAATGAAAGGTCTTGAACTAAGCCATGTTAGAAATGAGGAAGTGCTAAAGGATTGTAAGCTAAAGGCCAACATGATTGCCTATACTTATAGAAACAAGTAGAGAAATAAGAGTAAGTCGGCAACAGTGTAGAAAATAGGGGTGGTAGGTGGAAATTGCAAGAGTACATTTTTAAAAAATTGCTTCTAGTTTTCAGACATTCTGAAAGGTATAAATAATCTAAACTTTTATCTTCTACCAAAAATATGTAATAATGTGGGGCTTAACAAACTTACGGTTTGTTTATAATACGAGTTTCATAAACTATTTTAAGGCGTTAAAATACTATTTTTAGTTCTATATTTCTTAATTTTAAGCAATCATATTCCATTTTCTAACATATTCCACAACTCAATCCACCCCATGACAACAGTCAACAAGTGTTCACACCAAAAGTCAAATTACTCTGTTACACATTTCTCCCATTTTACAGTAGCAGGCCCATGGATTCTGGGCAATCATTTGATGAGACAGCTAGAGTGCTTGTTTAAAGGTCTATTTTCACACTAAGTCACTGTTTTTATGTATGACCTATATTTCCTAGAGATGATGGAGACTACTGAAAGAGAACTAAAGCTAAGAACTCCTAAGCTGCCAGTGCAATTCCAAATCTGTGTTCGATATCAGATATCACACAAGAGTACTTGAAAAGACTTATGTATAAGGAACGAATAAAAACTATCTGAATAGAATTACAGGTCTTGGTTTGTCCCTTTCCTCATTTAAGAAGGATCAAACAATTTCCTTAAGATAGATATAAAATATTCATCCCTATTTCTCATAATACATCAACATACGTTTGCTAAATGAACAGAAAGTAATTCACTAAATGAACAGAAACAGTAATCCTGATTTACAGGGTGGTAAGAGAGAATGCTCCAATTACATAGAGAAGATGTAACAAAGACTTTGTGAACATAAGAGAACTGATATTATCACTACTTATGAACTACCTATATGCAGTGTACTTAACTTTTTTCAGATATTCCAGATGTATGTTATTAATACTAAGATTAAAGTACAAAGCACATGGTCCAAGTAAGGATCAAAATACTTTTGTTTAATTTCACCTTCCCATGAGAAATTCCATAGTAAGAGAGGCATTTTTTAAAAAAGTAAAATCAGTACAGACTGAGGATACAGAATGACATGTAAGCATATCAGGCTTCCTGCCTTCTTTATCTCATTAAACATCTCCCACAAGTTCTGCACATTAGAAAAATAGGTCCTAAAGAATAATCCATTCCCACTTCAGTCATAGAAAATTAGATTTATCCTATAAAGTATGAAAAGCTCAAGATAACTTAAGCTTTCATGAGAATATAATTGATAAAAACTTTTATCCATCCCCCTTCACCTGCACATTCCTAGTCCACCCCACCATGGTATATGGTCAAAGCTTTGCCTAAGAGCAATAGGACATTCTTCCAAATCACCATTATATTTTGCACATAATTTCCTAAGTTAAAAAAATGCAGTTATTGTCCCTGGGCAAAGGGATCCCTATTGCAGAAGTTATCGCAAAGAACAGAACCAGAATCATTTAAGAGGGTTACATACTTTTTCTCTTTACTTTCATCTTTGTAGCTGATGCTGTAAAACCCATAATAAGAACTAGAGATATTTGCTGAATACTCTATCTTCATGGTATAATTGTGCCCTGCTAGAAGGGCTTCTGGAGCAATAATGGCGATTTGTTCATGATATGGATATTCCAAGATTTCAACTTGTTTTTCTTGGCTTGAAATTGACATGAAAGTCACTCTTGAAATATTATGACCTGTGCTATGAAGAATAATGTTCCATGTGGCCTGAAGAGCCTGAACTGAAATTGTCACAGAACCCCTGAATGTCATTGAAGTTAAGTTTGGGTGTAGGTCAAGTTCATAATGTTGTGGCATAATAGCAGTGGGAAGCCTCATTTGTGCCCATGGAAATAACTTCCCATTTGTTGCAAGTGGCTGAATTAGTTTCATTGATTGGTTTTTTTTATGGCAGCCTTCTTTGGTAAAAGTACATCTAGGCAGTAGGTAAATCACCATGATGACAGAAACAGCAACCACAATGACAAAAGCACAGAACACCAAGGTCCTTGCAGAGGGTACTGAACAAGCCCCATCTGCACTTTGCCTGTAGCCAGCTGCACTGTTCCGAAGGCCTGAGCTTCTGTTCATAAAAGACATGCCCAGCAGCTTTGCAGATGACTCATAATCCTCTTCGTCCTCATCCATCTCATGTTCACCGAGACCTCGCACCAGCAGTCGGGAACCCCGGGGCTCATATTCCACTTCATCAGGCTCTAATGGATGTAAACAAGGCTCTTTGGCTAAATCCACCACATCTGGTTCTTCCTCAAACATACTGTTTTCAATCATGTTCCTGGGAAGCTGAAGTCTATCTAAAAAGTCAAAACATAAAAACAAGGCACAAAGTTAGGGAAAAAAGCATGTAATACCATGTCTTCTAGCAAGGTCAAATCTAAGCTAAGATTTTTTTTAAATCACCAAGACTTGTTTCCATTTCACAGCTACTGAATTAAATAAGAAGCTTATAACATTCTTGAAACATCCATTAAAAAGCCAAGCATAAAAAAAAGTATGCCACAGCCATGAAACAAGAAGTTAAATAAACATTAATTCCAAAAAAGACAGCGGAGATTACATATTAATTTCCTTAACACATGCCTACTCAACTACCTGGGCCCCTGCCATGAGCTTGAAGAGGGCCTGCCTCTGGCTGAGTCTGTCCCCACAGAATGAGGCGTCAGTAGTATCAAAGGGATGTGACCACCAATAGTCCATGCCCTTCTTTCGGGGTTTGGGTACCTGCACTCCAGAACTCCTGCCCCAAAGGCTGCAAACTTGCTCCCATGACCTACACTGGTCTCATCTTTGAGTCCTCTTCTTCATAGGGAGTACAACAAACTGGTAGGCCTGTTTCTAATGTCAAAGGTGGCTAAGCAACAGGATATTGTTTCTCCCGAGGGAGGGATGTTCTTATACCATAGCAAACTTCCATACACAGGAGAGAATAAAAACATGACCTAAAACTCTAAAACTCAGATAAAAATACAATGCAGTCTATTTTACACACTTCCATAGCATTCAAATGTAATACATATTCCTATTTGTAACTACTACACTACATATACGAGTGTTAGTATCTTGGGGTGAGGAAGTAATGGAAGCTTTTACAAAAAATTAAGAACTACCCCTCCAATTTGCTTAGAATAACTGAGAAAAAAGTCTCAAAAAGTAGAAGGGTAAATAATCCCATATATATATATATATATATATATATATATATATATATATACACACACACACACATACACCAATAATTCTTAATTCTTAAGATTAGACTATTCAATGTTCTTCACTTAAAAATTATAAAACTTTATCCTGTAAGAGATTTCAAAAGTTATCAAATTGCAACCATCACTAACCCTTCTCTACCTGGTACTTTATACATATCATTTCTAATACTCACAACATTTCTATAAAGTGGCAAATATGATACTTTGGACATAAGAAAATAGAGAAACAAAAATGTGTTAATTTATTTTCATAGCCATACAACTATTTAAGTCATAAAACTGATATTGGAGCCCAGGTCTAAAATTTTGATTTCAAATTTCGGGCTCTTTCCATTATTTTATTGTATTTTTTTCTCAAACTAGTTCAATAAAAGATGAGAGCTAGTGTGTGCAAAGCCCTTGGTTAAATAACCAGCACTGGGGGAATAAAAGATGAGCGCATGTACATAAATTATTAATTCTGTACCCGACAATGAAGTTGCTAAACACATTATTTCACCGCTAGCAGAACAAAGCTTATATTAAACTACTTAATATCTAGCTTAATGCAAAATGCTATGTACTTCGTGCTATTTAAAAAATAATGAAACACTGGTAATTCATAATTCATGAAATAATGATAAATACCAGGATAAAACTGACAGTTTTGTCACTCAAAGTGGTATGCTGACTGGACATAGTCACATCATTTTGTAATTTATTAGAAAAGCAGACTCTTATGTTCCTCTCTGAATATGAATTTCATTTAAACCCCCAGGTGACTTATATGCATGGAAGTTTGGGAAGCGTTGGTCTAAGCTGTTCCACGATTCCCGAGTATATTCTGGTCATCCCAGGCTGCCACTTCTCTGAGAATAAGTCAAGCTGCTCTGACATGCCACCCTCCAGGTGGCTCTCTCCTGTTCCCTCTGTGTGCATGGATCATTCCTTCTAACTCAGACTACCCAGGGAACACCTGCTCTTGTATAACTCAGCTTAACTTGCTACATTGTAAATCAAGAAAAGTTACATGCCTTTGTTTTTCCTTTTTCTTTATTACCTTTTCATTTTTTGGTTGAGACAGGGTCTCACTATGTAGTTCAGACTGGCCTGGAACTCAAGAGATTCTCCTGTCTCAGCTTCCCAAGTGCTGGGATTACAGGTATGCAGCACCACACCCAGCTTTTTATTACATTTTAAAAGTAAATTTTGTATCATTTTTTACCTTTGACTAACACGCAAATGCCAATAAGAATAACTTTTCCCACCTTCTTGCCGTTCTAAACTTTTAAAGTTATGCTACCTTAAATGTTTTCTATGAATGAGAGTTTAAATCATTTTCTAGGAGTGGATTTAGCAAGCCACCACCTATCTATCTTCTGCGAAAGGTCTGAAAATGAGAGTGGTTATAATATTCTGCTTTTGAGAATTTCATTTTCTAAGCTTCTTATAGTGTCTCAACTTCTTGTGATAAAGTCTGTTTGATAGTTAACTGTGTAAAAATACACTCTGTTTTTATTTAACAAATGTCTAAATAAGTCTAGGTAGAGTTTCAGCCTAATAATAGAACATTCCCGTCCCTGAATTCAAACCCCTCAAAACTTCCTTCTTCTTTCTTCTTTTTTGGTTCTGGGAATCGAACCCCGGGCTTCATGTAAGAATTGTTTTCAAGTTTGATTCTTCATCCATGTCCTGCTTAAGGTACAGTATATTCTACAGTTTGATCGTGTACCACCTTTTGTCTGTACTTCATCATCAAATCTTCTGACAAAGGCCTAGGTGCCTGCCAAAGTCAAAATAACTAACTTTTATTATTTAGTGCCCATTAGATTAATACTTATGTAGAATTTTAATCTTTCAGAAATTGTGTCCATCAAACCATCTGCTATATTTTACTTCATATTTGAATCATACTTTTTTGGTATTTACTATCATAGCAAGCTAAATACATCAAACCAGGGGAAACTAGTTTTATTACAAGTAGCTCATGAAGATTGTACTGTAAGCTTATTTAGAAAAAAATTGTGTTGGTTTGATTCTTAACTCAGCAAACTTTGAGTTTACCATAAATTGCAATGTAACACATTATCACTTTTGCTCTAATGGGATTTATTCCTACTGAAAGATAGTATCCTAAAAGAACAGGGCATTTGCTAAAACCTCTTAAATCAACATATACAAGCCATCTATAAGCCAAAATTCTGAGTTTTGAATAACATAGACCATGTGGTTCCAATCTAAGAGAATGAAGACATTTCTTTTCATCAGATACTGTGATCTAGTACTCCTCGATGCTGTTGGTGGACCAGTGCCAATTCACAAACTGTTACCCATCTGTGACAGGATACCTATATTTCTATGAGTATTCAACACTTAGCATTAAAAAGTGTACTGTAATTTGACAGAATAATTTTATGTCTCTCAAATTTCAAATTTAAAACTGCACTTATTTTTTGCACGTCTTTTTTCATTTTCTTTTTTTTTTTTGGTACTGGAGATCAAACTTGGGTCCTTGTGCTTGCAAGGCAGGTGGTGGAACCACTGGGCTAAATCCCCGGCCCTTTCCTTTCTCTAATGATGAATTTTTTAAATATGCTACAAAATTTCTGCAACAGACCAAAAAAAAATTTTTTTTATCAGCTAAGATAATAGGAGAAGCAATTGGTTAGGCCAGTGGTAGCAAACCTATGGCACATATGCTACAGGGGACTGTCTGTATCACTGAAAGCTCTAAAAAGGCTCGCCATCACTGGGTTAGACTGTCATTATACTGGCAATTCAGATAAAGTTTTCAATTATGACAGCAGCACTGGAAGTGAAGAGGAGGGAAAGACTGAAAATTATGTTAAAGAGGTAGAATGCATCGGAATTCATGCTCAGAGGCCAGGTGGACCAGTAGGGTGGTGAATTAGAGGGAGGTTGATGTCAACTTCTACACACTATAGAGTTGTCAACTCCTACACATTGTGCCTTTGATAACCAGAAGGACCGTCATTCACTGAGACTGAGAATATACAGGTCTTCATAGTCTCTCATTAGGAGGAAACGAAGGAGTGAAAATGAGGTTCTAAGGTGGCATTCGGTATGGGATATACAGTATTTGATACTGCTCAGTAGAAATGATTGATTAATAGCATATTATAGAGCCCAAGGACTCAATTTAGATGGAAGTTCAAATTCTGGCTCTATCAAAAACAGGTTACCTCTGTTAGTCACAATTTCCTTGCCTATAAATGTGGGCATTATTTTTCTGTAGGACTGTCATAAGGATTATGTTGTATGGGACTGGGGCTCAAAAGAAGGATGTAGGTAGAAGACTATGATTTTCAAATTATCTGCATACGTACACTTCAAACTATGTAGATGTGTGAGACCACTGAAAGAGAGAAGAATCAGAGAACATCAGATTGTAGGAGAGGAACAGAGAAAGAGGGTTAATAAGAATAAGACAGAATGGACTAGAAATAGGAAAAGGTTAAATCCTAGAAACCAAAAGAAGAATTTTTATAAAAAAGGAGTGATTGTTGGCATTAAATGTCTTAGAAAGGTCAAGTAAAATGAGGCAGATAGAGGACCCTACATTTGGCACCTAGGGAACCAATGACTTTTCTGAGGTACTTTCAATGGACAGGGAGTGGAAGCATCCTCCCAAAGAATGGAAAGTAAACAAGAGAAGGCAAGGGCTGCAGACTATTTCTTTAAGGTACACAGTTGTTCATCAGAGGCAAAACAGTCTATTGCCATAAAACCCTGAACGCACCCAATCTGGTCTGATCAAAGGAAAAACATAGGGTCAAACTAGAAGTATGAAGTAGAGGAAAGTTAAATCCGTGTGTGTGTGTGTGTGTGTGTGTGTGTGTGTGTGTGTGTGTGTGTGTGTGTGTGTGTGAGAGAGAGAGAGAGAGAGAGAGAGAGAACAACTTAAGCATGCATTTCTGAAGGAAAGGAAAAGTAAAGAAAGAAAATTTAAAGGTGGATGGGTAGGACAAAGGAAATTGTGGAAAAATATCCTAGCAGGATAGGGAATCACCAAGAACTCCAACAGAGGGATTAATCTTGATGGACACTAGGCATTCTTCCTGGATGCTGGACAGAGAGTGAAG